GGGCGTGTGTGTGTGTGTGTGTGTGTGTGTGTGTGTATACTGAAGTCAAAGCTGAATTCATGACTTCACACTCTGAGCCGCTGATATACTCAACATTACAGACCTCCTCCAGGGATAGCCAGAGCTATTACCTGCATAGCCGAGGGGGCAGTGGCACTCGTAGCGATCAGCCAGGTTGCGGCAGGTAGCCCCATGGTGGCAGGGCTGGGACGCACACTCATCGATGTCCAGCTCACAGCGTGGGCCCTGGAACCCAGGCACACAATAGCAGCGGAAGCCGTTGGGATCTGGACCCTGGGGCACACACAGAGCTCCGTGGTGGCAGGGCTGGGTGGCACAGCCCTGGGGCTCCAGGGGCCCACAGATGTAGCCACCACTCTCCGTAGCCTGGCACTTGGTTCCTGGAGTGCATGGGTCTGAGGCACAGGCACTGGGTGTCTCCGAAGGTACCATTCCTGTAGAGAGAGGACACTGGCTGGGCAGGGGGTACCGGGACACAACGTTCCCCTCACTTACCCATCCCAGACCCAGAGCCAGAAAGCAGCAGGGGGTCTGTCTGTACTCAGTAGGATAGAGGGAAGGCCAGGGGCTCTGGGTCCCAACAGGCTACACACATCTGCGCCGGAATGGGGACGTTTCAGGAGCACCTTCATAGCAGAGAAATAGGCCTCGGGCTGCCTGGCTCCAGCACAAGATTCTCGAGCGGGCCCTTACCCTGTGAGCGCTGTGCTCCACTGTCTCATAGCCCTTTGAGGCAGGCTTTGTCATACCTGTTTCACAAGAGGGCAGATCGAGGATCAGGAAAGAAAGTGAGGACTCGCCTGAGGCCACACAACAAATTAGTGCTGGGACAGCCTTCTAGATGTGTCCACCCGTTTCAGCTCCACTGGGTCTCCTCTGGGTCTCTCGCCTGAGGCCCACTCCTTCTCAGGAGACCCGGGATGGGGGCCCTCCCACTGCCTCCTCCACTGCTCCTGCTGGGGGTCTGGTAACTCCATCCATGCGTGAAATTGGAGATGGAGGACTTCAAAGGCCCCTCCCCTCCCCCCTGCCTACACGCACACCCTCCTCCCTACCTCCCCACCCCGCCTGACTGGCCTGGGAACTTCTCGCGGGATCCCTGGCCCTCACTGTACCCCCATCAGCAATTGTCTGAGCAGCTGGCCTGGCCAAGGTCACAGGGTACAGGGCAGGTATTGAGACCTGCTGACAACACCTGACTCGTTGCTGTGCTGCCTGCACCATGTGCAGCTCCCGCTATTCGAGGGTCACCTCCTGATCTGGAAGCCAAACCACAGAGTCTCCCTCCCTTCCTCCCTCTCTCCCTCTCTCCCTTTCTCCCGCCCAGCCTGTCTTTGTAATGCTGGGGTAAGAACTCAGGCTTTGGAGTAAAACAGCCCTGGATTTAGTTACCAGCTCAATTACTAGCCCTGAGACCTTGGGCAAGTGATTTCTCCAGTGAGCTCCATTTCCCAGCCTGAAAAGCGAATGATGATAGTCCGCACGGCACAGGTTGTATTAGGATTCAAAGCCTCAGCTCCTGCAGTCAAGTGCCTACTCACAGGACCTCAGGAAGTCATGGGGGAGGAGAACTGCCCATGAGCAGGAGGCACCCCCCACCTGGGGCTCTGAGAGGCGCCCCTTCCCCATCAGGTTGTCATCCCGACACTAACCAGGCCCTGCATCTCCCCTCCCCCGCCCTGGTGAAGACCCCCAGATAAGGCCCTGCAGCCTCTCAGACGTCATCTGCATTCCACTCGGCAGGGCTGTCCACTGGCTGACCCCCACGCTTCCCAGCCAGGGCCAAGCAAGATAGGGGACAGGGAGATGGAGATACTCAGCAGTGGACCCAGGGGGAGAACCCTGTTGTCAGCCCTACCCCAGAGCACCCAGAGCACCTGGTACAGCTCAACATGGCTCACTCATTCTCAGCCCGGGGGCCCTAGTGCCCACCCAGAGTCAGGCATGTGGCAGGGGGACAAAGAGTCTGTAGCACTGTCAGGCCAATGACCTTCTAGGGCTCTGGGATCCACAGACTCTCTGTGCCCACTGTTCCCCTCCCCAGCTCGGGACATCCGACCCTAGCCCCCTTCCCCAAGCCCGGTCATTAGGGCCAGGGCAGGGGCCATCTGGGCCTCTCTGAGGGGCTTATGGGCAGCCCGCCTTCCCCGCAACCCCCACTCTGAGCCTCTGTGGCTGAACAATGTGGAGCCAGGTCCCCTAGGCTCAGTTAGATGCTCTGATGGGGGTGGGAAGGTGGTCTGATGGGGGTCGGAGTAGATCTAGCTCGCTCAGGAAAGGACATAGGTGTGGGCATCAGACAGGCAGGACTTGTATCTAAGATGCAAATGATGGTGCCCACTTCATGGGGTGTTGTGAGGAGCCACCTAGGTGACATGAGTGAAGTCCCGAAGCCCAGTGGGCCCTCAGTGAGGACCCTCAGTGAGGACTCTGGCCATTATGATCAGGGTCCCTCAACCCAGCCCTGCTCAGGAGGAGGGGAGAGCACAGTAATCAGAGCTCCCGTGCGTGCGAATGAACCTGGCTGCGGGGTCTTGTGCCAACAGGCCCTTCCTCTTTTTTTTTTTTTTTTAGCTGAGCCATCCTGCCACCTGTTGGCAGCTCAGCGGCAGCTCAGCTCGGGCCGGGAATCGAACTGGCAACCCTGTTGCTCAGCGCTCTCACTCCAACAGGCCCTTCTTTTAATCTCAACAAGGCACGGACCCTCATCTGTGTGGCCCAAGGAACCCCACCCCAGTCTGGAGCTTTGCCCCCTGCCCCATTCAGAGCCCTCTGTTTCAGAGCAGTTGGGACCAGCCTGGGGAGAAATCACCTAGGGGGACTGGGGAAGGTGCTTTTCTCTGTGGGAGCAGGTAGACCATGACCCTAAATGATGGAGGCCCAGGAGACAGTCCAGCACCGAGAGGAAATGGTTCCTGCAGTCAGAGCCAGGCAGAGGGAGTGAGCTGCCTGCCCTAGGAGGCATGCAATAGCACCAAAGCCTGCACATGAGGGGCAACCATCTCTCTTATGTAAACTCAGTTCATATTTACCTGAGGAGGTACTGTTGTTCTTGTTTTACAGTTGAGGAAAGTGAGGCTCAGAGATGAAACACAGCCCATGAGGGGTTGGAATCCAAACCCAGGTCTGGCTGCTGCAGAGCCACCCGGGGCAGGGGTCTGTATTAAGAATAGACTTTCCTGGGCCCGCCTCCCTTCCAGATCTAGAGGGCCAGAATTGCTGGGCCTGGGGCCCAAGAATCTGCATGGCAAGGGGGAGTCCTTTGCACACTGAGGTTTGGGAACCACTGACCCAGGGTTCTGTCTCCCAGGAATGAGCCCAGGAGTCCAGGTCAGTCCAGGGCTGAGAGGAGAGGTGAGGGTGGCAGGCAGAGGAGGGGCGGCCCCGGGGCCAGGCTGGAGGGGCGCGGCCTGTTGCCAGGGTGACGAGGGGCCTGTGCTTATCTTAACAAATCCTTCCTGACCTCTCAGGCTGCCTGGGACGACCTGGCAGGGGAGGGATTAACTGACACCCGCCCCTCGCCCGCCCCGCC